CTGTTACATCAATCTTGCATACCAATATTTTCAGTTTTCCCGAAACAGATCAAAAATGATAAAAAAAAAATTGCGCATAGTTTCCACAAAACAAAACGCTGAAAATCTACCATCTTCCTTCAAGAGCAACGATCGGTGCAGGACACTCTGTATCTCTTTACTTAACTGTAGAACTTGAAAAGTTCGAAAATTGGAACATAGTAGTTTTATTGCTTCGTTGATGTTCCGGTACTAAAGTTAAAAAATCACAAATATTAGTTCGTAGTTGAGATATCAGTCATCTCTAATGGAAACTAGAAACTTTCCGCATTTATTCAGTTACCACACTATTGTTTGCAAGAAATAAATTGGATTCTAAATAAACGCCGCCCTCGAATAAACGCCACACTCGAATCACGTTTAATCGAGTAAATACGGCAGTTCCCTCAAAACACAAAAATTGCCAGCATGTAAAATAGTACCCCTGCAAGAATTGAATACTTTACGGTAGCAGAAGATTCATCACGTTTTTGTGATCTATTATCAGACTCACCCAGCCAACACCTGAGTGCATAAACATAGGTTCCGTAATCATACACTGAACATTTGGCTACGTTGTTCTTGAAATCTGATTCAGCCACTTGGTTGCCTGGATTGATGTGAACACGAAGATAAAACGCGCCGTGTACGAAATCAGTACAGTCCACCCACTGGCAGTCGATGTTATAGTGATAAATGTCATAACATCCTGGTGATATGCCCTGATCTCCCATGTCAGTACAGTTCCAAACTTTGTCAAACCCAGAATCGCATTTGGTGTCTTCTAAACAGAAACTAGCTTTGTGTCCTTGGGAAACCTTTTTCCCGCTCCTCTGACCTAAAACGCAAGGAGTGAAACTTAAAGACTTTATTTAAGCCCTTATGGTAGAATGAAACAGCTATATCATCACCTATCAAAATTCCTATCTATTGGCTGACTCAATATTTGCCCAGCTTAAGTGAAAGGAGGATCTATGAGGATTTTGAAATGGTTTGTGATGATTTCCGGAAACGTAGCACATCCCACGCTAGCATCTCTCAAAAACAACACAAAAAGGAACTAAAGCACCGACGAACAATAGCAAAAAAAACACAATTGTGTGAAACAAAAAGGTCTTTATCGGAGCTTTCTACAATTCTTAAAAAAATGAAATAAAATAGGATACAACAAAGATCAAAATATAGTTAACCAAAGGGAGAATTTGATCGTGTTCCATTTATGGAACTGATTCATTTCGTTCAAACACCGTCAGCAGACCCAATACATTCGCAAATTAAAGTGTCGCCATGGTGATTGACTATTTCGTTTTTACCTTTAAACTGACCGTAGGTTCACGGCATCAGCAATAATTTGTACTTACGAAGGAGGTCGTAAGAAGAGAATGTTTCCATGGAGTGATAATGTTGGTGGCATTTGTGCCACTGCCAAGTTGACTTGTCAGCTTTTGGTCTGAAGTGATCCAACCCTCTGTTTTCAACTTGAACGCTGAATCGTAATAGTCGCCTGCGATAAGTGTCTGAATATCTGAAACCGACATGAGAACATGATCAACGTCATTGTGTAAGTCGTAAAACTGTTGAGACAAGGTAGAACTAAGTTCTTGTCTACAAATATTTTTGAAAATTTTACCTTAAAAAACGTGCTGCAGACGGACTGAGACAGTTTTCTTCCATGGCACATCTCAGCGCCGATAAGGGAAAAACATTCAATTCCATGTAACTTCTGAGAATATCGGTGTTAACGACAAGGTCAGGTAGAGCTAAGGAGGGAAAGAACACTTCAATCACGCGACTCTATTTTCTGAAAGAGATTCATAGATCTCCAGAAAAAGTCGGGAAGGGATTTCGATCTCGTTTGAGTGAGCAAAGGAAAGGTTACGAATGCGTGTTAGACAGCTACATCTCTGTGAAAAACAGACCGAGTGAGTACAAATAGCTACTCACAGGTACACAAGAGAAATGCAAAGTCATTGTTGAAAATTTTCTGACCGTCATCTTTTTTTATCGAGTGGCTATGGCAATGGTATAACTTATGATGTTAAAGTGCGAAAGCACACATCTTTCATCATCAAATGACCATTCCCTCAAAAAGAAAACAAGTTAACTTCACAACCACTTTAACATTTCTGCAAATTTCTTTCGTTGAATGATAATATAAATGAAAAAAATCACACGCGTCTGATTGGCTGAAAACAATTGTATTTTTCATGTGACAAGAGTGCAAAGTTGCAACAAGAATAAAAGCGCGCGCGCTGCCAATATTTCGTCCGTCTTGACCTTCTATGATGCGTTTTTCATGTAAATTATTAACAAGCAACATCATGACATGATTTCTCGTGCAAATTGGTGAAAATAAGCACCTGTAAATTTTCAAAGAAAAAAAAAATTGCACGAGCTCGTTTGAAAAATTTACTCGTGTTTATCAACCCCAAATTGCACGTGAAATCATATTGTTACCTGTACGAAATGGACCGCTAAGTGCCACGTGCAAACTCTTAAGAACCATAATACTGAGCGTTATTGAATATAGCTTTTGTATCACACGTGACTGAACATGCAAAGAGTGTAAAAGTCTTACCACTAACGCACACGACTCCAGCTGACTTCTTCTTGTCACTGCAGGTGGTGTTTTTCCACTCATCATGCTCACAATGGTAAATAGAGATATCGTTTATATGACATTGAACTCCAGACATGATAACTTCAAGATCTGTTCGACTGAAGTTTTGTTCCGTAACTGCTTCACTGGCATATCCAAGATTCAACTGTCGGCAAACTGTCATAGCTTCTTCTATTCCCCACCCTTCAGCGCAGACGGTTCCCCATTTTCCATCATAGAAGACTTCAACCCGACCCTCAAGATGGTTTGCGCCGCCCCTAATGCGAACCTGCAACAGAAGGCCAAAACGAAATGGTACTTGTGTGAACTTGTCGAATCCAAAGTCAACATGCTACTGCCTTCTTAAAACCAAACGTTAGTGTAAAAGTCTATTCTCATTTGCTGGCCAAATACAAACCAGTATCTTTTTAACCACATCAGTTACACAGTTTCGTTATTTACTAGAACAGTGGATACCGTGGAAGGTGCGCTCTGATTGGCTACTCGAACTCTGAATATTCTTTGTTATTCACCTCTAAGCAACTCGCGCCGGATTTGCGCCCGAAAATATTGGAATCGTCGCAGGAATAAATAAGTTAAAATCATCTTTTCATGCTATAATTTCTCATTGTTTTAGTATACATTAATATATCATATCAATAAAGGAATTCCACCAATATACCTCTTTAAACACCTCAAGTGGGAAACATTGATTTCCTTCCTTACTCCCAGCAAAACAAATTGTCCAAGTTACCTTTTCACATGAAATGAGATTTCATTTACGGTGATATACATATACAGACAGATGTATTATTTTAGTTAACATTATATTGCCTACCTCATGGCCTTGAAGGGAAGGCACGTGACATCTAACACCAGCGTCCTCGTGATGATTACAGTTGGACTTGAGCCATCTTCTTTTCTTACACTGTCTAATACTCTTCTCAGTACCCACACAATACACATCATCGAGCATGATCTGAGTTCAAAATTAAAATAACGAAATCAACGGTTGTCATTTCCTATATACGTTAACACGTAAAGAAACACAGCTTCCTCTTGGCTTAATAGCAAACCACTGTTTGGGAAATGAGTTCACGCTTCTCCTCCTCCTCTTCTCTCGGAAAGGCACAGACTCGAGAGAGATGGACATCGAGCATACGGTTCTTCCCAGGTTGGTCCATTGCAAGTTTCTCCGGGAATTTGTCATGATGGCTTGACACATTACCCCGCCCATTCCGTATTGTGTGCTCGCTTTTTTTTTGGATAAGGCTCTTAGAGAATTTTTTTCCTGGTACAGTCGGCTCTCACCTTGCGGACACCTCGCTATTACGGACACCCCGCCATTGAAGACAAGAGTCAGTCCCCCCGGCGAAACGCATAAAGAAATGACTGAAATTAACTCTCGTTATTACGGACTCTCTCTATTACGGAAATGCAGACACTTTCATGCCCCCCCCCCCCACAGCGCGACATTTTACTTTTTTTTTCTTTCGCAATAACGGACACTTGAGTACTTCATCCAAAATCCTGACTCACACGATAAAAAGCGACATTACGACAAAGGAAAATAAACAAACCGTTCTTCAATTGGATGCGAACATGAAATGGTTTCTGTTTGCGGCCGGATTTTGTCCGGTTCACGAAGCCACGTTAGAATCTTTCTGTTAGCATAGTTGCATATTATTTCATATGTACAGAGACAAAATGATTTTTTTTCTCTCGTACCCCGCTATTACGGACTCTCGTTATTACGGACACGTCTCTGAGGGTGTCTGCAATAACGGGAGTCGACTGTAATCGCTTAATACTCTTAGCCCGACACCGTTACTCGCGGTAGAAACAGTGCAAATAAATTTAAAAATACCACTGAGTATAGATTATTGTAAAGGTAGACGACAGTGTTTCCTGGGCATGATATAATACCTTTCCAATTCCTCTTCCGTAGTACGCATTTTTTGTTGCTATTTCCGCTGTACCGTAACCCATTGACCTGCAGACCACATTAGCTTCTCTTATGGTCCAGTGATCATCACAAATGGTGCCCCAATATCTGTTATTCTGTACCTCCACACGCCCCTCCGATACCAGGGCCCCACTTCGCAATCTCACGTCTGGTGGCTACAAAGAGGAAAAACAAGGTCCAAAAGTGCTACCTGATGTCAAAAGGCAGCAGTGTAGTGGCCCAAATTTCTGCAGTGAAAACCGAAACCTTGCAGTTTGGCTGCTTTTGCTAACATTAAGTTTTACGTCTAGAAGAAAAACGGGTGTCACATGATGAACGCTGTCCGATCTCTTGAAAGGATAAACGCAACAAAGAGATAAAAAATTGATACAAACTTTTGTTTCCTGGCTTACAGACGGACCCTCATTGAATGTTTAAAAACGAAACAACCCCCCCTCCTGGCTCTTCGGTAAATCAGGGTGTAATGCGCGAGGCTGTAAAATACTCCTGAATATCTAATATCTACTTTTGAAGCTTCTCTTACTGCGCTTATTCGCGTTGTGCAAAACATGTTATCTGTTAGTGAATAAAATTATCTTTCTGGTCCCGTGCTGCCGATCCGACGATAACGGGCGAGAGAGTTAGCTTTTTTTCGTATTCAGTGCTTCAAACAGGCAGTATTTAACTTTCACATTGCGCTGTCATCGAGAGAGAAAGCCTTGAAATTTATTGAAAATCTCAGAAAACAATCCGATCAAAAATTGGCCACATTTTGAATTGTAACTACCTTGCAGCTTACAGAAGAATACGTGGCCAAAACACCTTGAAATTGCGCATTTTGACAGCCACGCGTTCTGCTTCTTGTTAATTACGATGGGGAACAAGAGCAATTTAACGCCTATAAGAGTGAAACTGGAAGAACTCAGTGTGCAAACTCACAGAGTGACCTAATGAAATCCTAAAGCAAGTTAAATTCGATCGAAAGGAAAGCATAAGACTTGAAAAAAAATAAAATTCCGATAGCTGCTTTAAGACGAGAAATTTGATTCCTTTTGGCTTCCCTGTATCTGTTAACTGCGATTTGTATCAAGATACTCACTTTTTTGATTAATCGCCTGACACACTCGATCCTCACCGCTTCCCCCTCTTCACATTGATGACTACCCCACCCTGCATGGTCACATGACACAATCGATGACTCCCATCCTTTGCACGTCACCTGGTCCAGCCAATAGACGGGCTCCAAATCTTGGATGGTTTCTTTATGAGACTTAAGTTTCTCAGCGTTAGGAAATCCCAGTTGGCCGCACAGCACGAACGAGTTTAGTTGAGTCCATTGCGAAGGACAAATATAACCCCACTTTCCTTCATGCTCCACTTGAACAACACCTTCTGATATGTAGTCATCAACAACTGGGCCTTTTAACCTTATGTTGACTTTTGAAACCTGTATTGAGATTAGAAAGAAAGAAACATGTCATGCAATCTTGGATTCCCTTTGCGTGAATGAAACATGTACGGTTTTTTCACCGTCCTTAAGAGGAGGTCTATTCCAACAGAACCAACACAGATCCGCCCACAGTTTTTTTTAAAGGTTGGTCTTTCAGGCACTATAAACAAAAACGTTTCTTAAATCATCAATTGGTAGATACGTATATTTTTCGGCACCTTTTTGAAGTCTGATCGATCATTGTTTACGTTATATTCTAGACTGACTTTTTTTTTCATCATAGTCCGGAGAAATAAAGCGTCATATAACGATTGATTTGTTCAAGTAATGCGCACCCTCTGATTGGTCGAGGATTACATCGTGTCTTGCTCGCTCTCATTGAATCTACAAGCAAAATCATTGGAAATTTCAATCTAGTTTGTGATTAGGAACCGGATTAAAAAATGATGTTATCGACTAAATTTAACAAGATTATACCTGACCGCTGGCTTGCGAAGGCTTGGGCTCAACAATGAGGTCATTCAAACGCTGTCTGCAAACAGCACCAGCCTGACTATAGATTTGACAGTTGTTTCGGCCCCAGGGCCTATGCGAACACTTATCAATCGAATCCTCCTCTCCAGAGCATTTGACGTCATCAAGCCAGAACTTCCCATTTCCAACGCCAAATGCATGATGCCTAGGGAGCCAAGCAAATGGAATACTCAGAGTTAACTTGAGTTTGGGTAGAAGTTGTGAGATTTAACCAAAATTAGCCATGTGTTGTGATGATTTTTAAGGCGCGAGTGCTTATTTTTCAATTTCCTTGCCATGCAAATGACTTTTACTACGACTCAAACTTGAAAGGATGACTTCTTTGAAGGGCTTAGATTGTGCTGTTACACGGAGATGTCTGTTGGGAACTATCAAAAAACCCGGTTCCTAGTGATTTGACAATCTGTGTACCCTAGTAACAAATTTCACAATGATCAATTGTATATGGACTTTATGTTAACCAATCCTTAAAGTGTACATACATTAAACATCCCCGCAGACTTTGCGACGAGTGACAGCCAATGATGGTCATGCTGACTTGCATACCGTAGAACTTTCCAGAACATTTCATCCAGTCACGAATTTATTATGTAATATTACTAAACTGAACAGTTATTATATAAGCTTCTGGAATGTTCTAGAACACTTTGTGAATATACATAAAGACTCACTTATGTAATAGGAGAAGTAGTTGTTGTTGTCGGAGCGACGACTATTTTGAAAGCTATACCGAGAGAGAATTACTGCGGAAGATTGCTTATTTCAAGGAACTTTGGAGACAGCAGTGAGAATGTGTCAGTGGTGAGCCAGGATATAGACTGTGGTGGGCTTAATTAAGTTTATTAACGATAAGTATTGTATTGTTTTTAGAAGTCGCTCCTTGTTAAGAACATTACTCGCTGTTTAATAAAGTAGTTGAGTTTGTGGGATTGTAGTGTTTTTCTGTCCGTTAGATTATACTATAACAGTGAATTAAAATCGATTACTACCGAATTTCCGTCATATATTAAAAATGATTTCATCCGCAGTAACTGGAATCCTTCATGGCAGGAACCAGTTTTCATTTCCCTTCAGAGCCCAAAATAAAAATTAAAATAAGAACGTTCAGCCTCAGCCCCAAAGTCAGACGTTTTTATAAAAAAAAGATAGTGTACTGTATGATAGTTTTTTTTGGTCAGAGTGGTTCTGTTTAAGTTAATGCCAATTGGTTGCTGCAAAAAGCCGTTCTGTGAAACAAATAGCCGAGATTTACATGAATATTTGGAAGGTGGAAAGCTGAGAGCTAGAAGGGTAAAAATTTCAAAAAGGAAGTCATTTCGACAAACGATTATCATTCATCACGGACCGTTTAACAGCAAACATGTCAATCAAATTATGGTAGCGAATCACTAACCATCCTCGATCTTTGATTGAACAAAGAGAAACACAAGAATGACAGAGGAAAGAAAGCTCTAAATATGTATTTTTCCTTAGCATGACATCTTTTGGTTCTCCAAAATTACCAGCTATGCAGGATGCAGGCTATTCAGTGCTCAAAATTATATACATGTACCAGATGTAAGTTACGCAATAGTTTAAGACTGGTAACAGAAGGCCAGCACTTAACGACATACTTTGTAGAGAAGATACACCAAGTCACAAATGCATTAATAGTAGCAGGAGGGTGTCTGAGAACGTAATAACATCTCACGCAGTCATTTTGTTATCTGACATGAAACATTTTTCAATCAATGTGTTGCCCACATATCTTCACCGCGGGCATTTCCGTGCGAAGACTTAGTGTCACACAATCTTTCCTTAAAGGGGCAAGAGATGAGCCCAGCAGAAGATCTCTACTCAGACCTGTACAGGCAGAACTCCAGCTTAGTCGCCTCCCAATGACTCGTATTCTCAAGGACAATTTAAAATGGCTCTAGCGGATGAGCCCTAATGCTAAACTTTAGTCCATTACGTAATTGCTGGGTTCTTTTACAATTAAAATTAAAAATAACATTAGCCATACAGTTTCTTAATTTTACTTGTTGAGTAAACGGGAATTTCCTCTTATTCATGACATTACCAAAATGTAAACGGTCTTACAAAGAGTCGCAGACTGAGCTCAAAATTATGCTACTTACAAAAATTTCAGTGCAGCCCTAAACAGAAACTTTTGACCATCAACCTAAGATGTTTCTTCATGTATACAAGCAACAAATCATATGATACAGACCCCTTTGTATACCGCAGCACATCGGGAAATCCAAGCATGCGGCAGACTACTCTGGCCCCGTTCCTGTCCCAGCCGTGATCACAAACAGCTTTCCACGTACCATTGTATAACACCTCAATTCGCCCCTCGTAAAAGTGCTTTCCACCTTTTAAACGAACTAGAACGCCTATTGAAATCTCAATGCTTGTCAGTACTAATCCGAGTAAAATCCAATTCATTGCACTTAAAACGTCGATAACGAGAATTCCAACGACAACAACAAATTCGTTTCGATCTGTTCCACCAAAATAATTCGAATCAGCTATGTAAGCAGCGCGAGGACAAAGGTATATGCGACATTTCACTCAATTTATCCAAAACATGAAATCAGATCCCCCCCGGGACTGCTGGTGAGTTCACTGAACAGACATCCCTTGTTTCCATTCCAGCAGTAGTCAGAACACAATAATTCTTTATGATGTCACAAAACGCTGAGAAGCGTGTTCACAGTATCCGGTTCCAACGTCACGTTCTACAGCTTTTGGAAGCAGCGGGGAATGAAAAAATGTGTTTTTTATCATGCATTCTTACTAAATGATTGGTTGTAAAGTCTGAGTTTGAACGAAGACGAATCTAAAAAAAGAAAAATTGTGGCCATTATTTCATATATCAGTTCATATCATCACCAAGAGCACGTCTTCTGGAACTTAGTTTTTAGCTTTCTTGACAGTATTCATTCATTTACCCACCCGTCTATCCACTTCTCGTTAGTACGTTGGTTCGTTTGTTCATCAGTTGCATACATTCTTCACTTGTTGTTGTTTTTGCTTTTGTTTTTATTTTGTATGCTTTGCGCAAACGAAGGAAAGGTGGACAATGTAAGCAATTGCAATCAGATGAAATGGATTCAATAACTCATTGAATTTTTGTTATGATTAGTGCGAAGCCGAATCTTCACAAAGCCTTAACGTGCTTGTGATAAGTCATAAAATTTTTACCCTAAACTATTCAAATCAACGCCTTTGCTCTGTTGATCTTAGAAATTACAGGAGCCCAGCAGGGCTCCTGGTTGTGGTAGGATCGTACATGTTAGTGGATGTTGACTGAGAGCGCGGAATGCAATATCTGGATTTTGTCTGATATCATTGGAAAACAAGGTGAAAACATTGATCATTCACTTGAGCAGGGATTATGTCTCAATAAAAGGTTTTTGTGTTAGTGTCATTCACTTAGCACGCGAAGAATCAATTAACCGTCATTTGACCCCAGCTCACGAGGTCAGTGAATCACACAGACCAAGAACCTGATGTTGTATCTGGAAGAACAGAGAACCCACTTAGGAAGCATTGAAAATAGCACGAACACAGCTCTGAAAGATTGTTAAGAGTTTAATCAAGATTCTTAAATCCATCTGAAAGTGATTATCTACTTACTGATGATTAGATTAGGTTCTCTCTAAATGAGCATGTACAGGCCTAAGGAAGAGGGCACAAATGAATATGTGGGAAGTCACTCGCATATTGGGAAGAACTTTTTAGAGAACGACCTTCTATGTTCAATAGCTTTGAGTTGTAAATCTGTATCTTGACAACAACCATTACAAGGAGTTATTTCTCAATGTTTACTCTAAAAGGATTATTTGGGCCGTTTCCACCCCGCCATTTTATGGGCAAATTGTGGGCCAAAGATTACGCGATAAGGTACGCGAAGCACACAAAGCAATGACTTAAAAAGGATGAATTAATGGTTTTGAGAACTTTTCTTATCTTTTAAGGCTGTCTTCTTAGCTCAATATCCAAAGATTCACTGCCATATGGCTGTGTTCCCAGTCTGATTAGTGAGTGATTGTTTTCTGATCCTTCAAGTGCCTTCTGATAGGGGACGTATCCAATTTCATTTTAGGGCCTCTCGTACGACTGTCATTTGTCACGCGCGGTTGGCGCCAGCCAAGGAAAACCTTCATCGTGCAGGTTTTTCTTTGGTTGTGCGTTTCCGAGACTCCAAATTTCCGCTTTGGATTCGCACCTTTTCATTAAAGAAGGCGTATCCCAACATAACAAAATTCTTTCCTTGATATTAGGCCAACATATCACACCGTATTGACCCACGAATCGCTGTTGTATTCGTTTGTATCGTGGTGAGTTCAACCAAATACAATATGGCGCTGTTACGGTATACATGGGTAGTTCTTCTGCTCGCCGGCGTTACTAGTGCTTTGACTGGAATTCGCCTCAGAGGAGGGAAGCATCAGCACGAAGGCCGGGTTGAAATTGAACATGATGGACAGTGGAAAGCAGTATGTGACCATGGATGGAACAAATACGCAGCTAGAGTGGTATGCCGAATGCTTGGGTTTCCAGACATGCTGCGCTACACAAAAGGGTTAGTTGCACAATTGTTTTCCACCTAAGTTGTCTGCGGGTTTGTTATTACTCAAATCGTGCAAAGAATGGTTTCCGAATATTTCGAGGATTTTAGTAGTGCTTGCGAAGATATATCCTTGTTGAGCAAGTTCTGCTGACACCATGTAAACCAGCGCTGGCTAAAAAAGTTTTATTTTCATTTCACGTCCCAGCGAATCGAATTTCAAGTGATCGTGTCGACACCTCATAACATATCTCGTGTTTAAACTGTTCACAGTGTTCTATTTCTCCGTTTTTGTGTTTATGACGCGCAAAATATTTTTGCAGTCGTACTCTTGCTTCCACTA